CATTCTCAACAGAGCGTGGAGACCAAGGAGAGGGCGGTGGTGGCTCAGTGGTAAGAGTCTCATCTTCCCGCCCAGTGGAGGATCGTGTGTGGCAGTGATGCCGAGCCGTTCTCGGCAGAGCTTCCAGACTAAGGCAAACCAGCAAGAAGGGGCTGAAGGCCTGCCCCTGAGAAGCAGCGCAGGAAACCACGCGGCTCACAGTGGTCTGGCCCACTCGTGCCTGGGGCTGCCGCCTGCCTCTAGCCAACTAGCTGCAGCTAATAACAAGCTGGCGGTTCCTCCCACTGAACATCACGTAGGCAGCGCCCCTTGTCCCGGCCTCAGCCCTGTGCCATGCTTTTTTGGTGATTGTCCACCCCCCCACCCCCCGCAAGTAACAGCATGACAAGACTATCCCCTCTAAGACTTCAGTATCAAAGTGTCATACTTTTCCTTCACATCTCCTCCTCCAGGAAGCCTCCCCTGATGGCACCCCCAGTGTCTGGCCTGGGCTGGGTGTTGGGGTCGCAGGGGTACTCTGTCCCAAGCTGTGATTGAGTCTGGAAGGGGGTAGGAAGGAGGGGCCTCTCCCATCTGCCTCCTTTTCCCAGGACACCTTCATGTTCCTGACTAACCGGCATACCTTTGGCCACCTGCTCTCCTTGGACAGCTACAAGACCACCCACCTCCACAACGACCTCTGGGAGGTGTTCAACAACCCCGAGGTGAGGACCCCAGAGCCTGAGGCGCCTCCCCCCGCCCTCTGGTTCTAACAGGAGCTCTGCCCCTGGGCCACCTCTCTTCCCTCTGCCCAGGGGCCTGTGGGCTGGAATGGAATGGGTGGGAGCACGGGGCCCCTTGAGAGGCAGTGCCATCTAGTGGAGAAGGGCCTGGGAGTCTGAGGCCCAGCTCTGCCATCAGCGGAGACCTGGTCGATTCACTCAACTTTCAGGGCCTCAGCGATCTTAGCTCTGCCATGGCTACACTCTCCCAGCCTCACAGAGCGTATTGTGATAGACACAGTTGTGACAGTGCAAGCAGAGGCCGGGAGCTTGTGGGTGTTTCGGATGCACATGTACGTATGTAAGCACATGGAGACATGTGCAGACACCAGTTCCCAGGGGCATGCCTCTGCACACAGACTCTGGACAGAAGTGCATCCCTACCCTGTGCCCCCAGGCAAGCCCATGCCCATCCCATTGCACGTGGGAGTGGGTGCTTCTGGGGAGGTGCCCCTCCTGGGAGCAGCCTCACCCCACTGCGTAGCTCTCAGCGAGGGTCCTGGGTCGGCTCCTGGCCCGGGGACCTTAGCTGCTTCCCTGTCCCCACAGGACTGGAAGGAGAAGTACATCCACGAGAACTACACCCAGGCCCTGGAGGGGAAGCTGGTGGAGACGGTAGGGGCTGTGGGCCTCTGGGACGAAGTCCTTTCAGAGTTGGGGGCAGGGGCAGGGGGTGGCAGGATAGGGGAGGGGGTGGGGGCAGTGCTAGGGAGAGGGAAGAGCAGCTGATGACTCCTTCCGGCTGGAGCCTGCTGGGGCCTCGGGCCTCTCCCCTGGCCCAGGCAGGAAAGAGGAAGACATCCCCAAATGTGGTCTCCACTGTGGTCCGTGCCCCGAGACCAAGACCCAGGAGGGCATGCCCCTCTAGACACCCTAACTGCCCACTGCCCCTGGGTGTGCGCCTTGCGTTCTCCAGGACCTGGGGGCCCTGGCTGAAGTCTGACTTCATGCCACCACACATGGTCTACCCAGAGCTGTCCCAGCTCCTGCTCCGTGGCGAGAGAGATGTGGGCTCACTGACTGGGGTGGGGGAGGCTGGGGCCCGGCAGAGGGCTGTGGGGGCAGGAGGAGGAGGTGGGAGGGGCCCTCTGGACCCTGCTGACTGAGCCTTCCCCAGCCCTGCCCTGATGTCTACTGGTTCCCCATCTTCACGGAGACGGCCTGCGATGAGCTGGTGGAGGAGATGGAGCACTTTGGCCAGTGGTCTGTGGGTGACAACAAGGTAGGGGGTGCTCTTGGGGACGCCTGCAGATGGGCTGCTGGCAGGGCGCCTGCAGGCAGAGAGGAGGAGAAGGTTCAAGAAACTGGAACCAGAATGGGCCCCCAATGCTGCCGTGCCGCTGTGTGGCTTGGAGCCCCCATAAGCTGGTGTGTGATAAGAATGGTCGGGGGGAGGTAGGGGCTAGGAAGTGTAGGACGGAAGTGCTAAATTAGGAATTAGAATTAGGAAGTGCTGCTTCAAGGTCACCCTCATTGGAAGC